GCGCTGAATTGTGTAATAAGCAGAAAAAGTAAGGTTGAAGTTACTTTTCTGACTGTATTGGCTGAAGTTACTATAGATGATCATTTTAACTATTTTTATATCTAATTTTTTTTTTATTTTATAAATAAAATATATTTTAAAAATATATTCCTCTTAAATTAGCAGAATCAGTTAATGCAGACACTTCAGCCAGAACTTCATAAATTATAGCAGAATCAACCAAATCAGCCGATTTTCATGCTGCCAAACGGGCTTTAAATGTCATTCTATTTTTATCATTCTTTCATCATAAGAAATATTTTGTGGGCACTTTTTGAGTATACCACTCACGCACTTTATTTGTCTACAAAGACAAAATCGCTTAAGGCTTGTTTGCAATGTCGTGTGTAGACAACAAGATGAGTGAATGATGTGCACACAAAAAATGTACACCTTTTCTGTTTTCATCTATCCCTTCATCCTCATTTATTTGCCCCCCATGGTTCCCCTCCACGGCTCCACCCAATTCACCCATCTTCTTTAACCTCAATATGCTACTATCCTAGTAGCCTAGTACGTAAGAAAATAATGGAGGCAAGAAGCGGTTAATCCACTCAATCTAATCAATTATGAAAAAAATATTTAACATGTAAGGAGTATTTTATTTTATTGATAAAGTAATAAAAATGATATGAATATTATAGAAAGAATGACCGGTATAAGACTCCTACGCTTCTAAAATCCAAAAGTAGGAGTGATTTTGAATCTGGACAAAAATGGGATCCCTAAATAACCTTGTGATATAATAGAACTAAATCCCTAAATCCGAATTGTGCTTGTCGTTCAACCTGTTCGTCATCTTCAAAGGTGCAACCGCATCCGCCATCCATGGGTGTCGTTCCCATTGTCGAGTCCATCACCAGCACTGGCTCCATCGCCGCATCTATCTCCGTTCTCTCTGTCGTCGTGTCTCCATCGCCGCCAACTCAGTCACCTCATCCATCGCCGCCGCCTCTGCCATCGCCTCTCCATCTCCGCCGCTCCTTTTTCATTCTCTATCACCGCTTGTGTGTTCTCGCCCCTCACTCCATATCCGCCCCATCTTCTTCCCCTATTTCTCTATGAACCAATTGTATTCGAGTTGGAGATGACATATCATGTCGTTTCTCCTTTATCTCCAACAGAGCGACGAGGATGAAGATAAGCAATGAGTTTGGCAGATCCAGCGACAACTTAGATGATGTGTACTGGCCTGTAGATCTGGTTGCAACTAAGGTGGTGTAGTGGCGGCGGTGGAGATAATTTATGGTGGTTGTGGTGCGGTGGTTACGGTTATAGCTAGCATTCTTGTACGGTGGTTACACTTATAGCATTCTTGTGCGGTGGTGGGGTTGTTGGGATCGTGGTGGAGGCTGGTGGTAGGTGCTGGGGAGGCTGGGAAGGGGGCTGGGGCTAGGTCGGGGGTTGGGGCCGAGCTGGAATGGTGGGGGTGGTTAGGGTAGGGGCGGGGGTGGGCTGTGTGCTGTGGATGATGGTGGAGGAAAGGCGGGTGGTAATTGTTGGGGCGGTGGTCAGAGCTAGGGCGGTGGCGCAGGAGTAGTGTTGGTCATTTTTGGTTGGAGGTGGGCACTTGTAATCGGTCACAGTTGGTAACTGGATGGCGGGTCAGCGGGCATGGCAGTTGGTCACTGTTGGTCAACGGCGGGGGTAGCGGCGATGGTCGGCAGTGGTGGTGCCCGGTGGCTACTAGTGTTGAAAGTTAGGTCACTGACGGGTGTTCGGCGAATGTAATTGTAATTGCTTAGCGGTGGTAACTGGGACAGTGATAACTGACGATTTTTTGTCACTAGTGAATTTTGGATTTTTGGTCACTAATGATTTTTTGTCACTGACGAATTTTGGTCACTGGTGAATTTTGGATTTTTGGTCACTAATGATTTTTGGTCACTGGATGAATTTTGTAACTATGTCATTGGTAACTGTAACATTGGTCACTGCACATTTGGTCACTGTGACGGGTTACTGTAGCAGGCCAGTGGGTTTGGGCACCCTTAAGTATTATTTAGTCTTATTTTTGGAACTTAAAAGAAAAGTCTCTTTTTTTGTCCAAATGCTTTTAATTATTATTATTTGAGGACAAACCCCAATATTATACTAGTATTCACTGAGTGAATTAAAAAATTACACGTGGGATGATAAAATTGACCAAAAGATTACATATTCTCCTTTCTCGACCGTGGATATTTTCTCTGCTTGAATTGAATTGCATTTTATCGTTTTTAGAGTTAGCCATCAATAAATTAAAGTCAAATCAACTCTACGTATAGTTGAATCGTTTAATAATTAATATTTACAAAAATGGAAACTACATTACTACATTTTGTATTCTTTTGTTTGCTAATTTTTTCCCTCTTGAGCTTTGTGATTTACTTTTTTAATTTGTTAGCAGTAGTACTAAAAATAATCATTTCTTATTTTTATTTTCCCAAATCTGAGCATTTTTTATGTTTCATGATTGGTTTAGACTTCAAAAATGAATTCATTAACTCTTTATGAAGATATGTTTCAAATTTATTTGTACAAGTCTTTAGTTAATTTCATTCGTAGAACTTTTTTGACAATTGATCAAGATGAAGAAAAAAAGTAATAAATGACGTTGCGTTAGATTTTCATGCATGTTAAAATAACAAAATACCTTTTGTACACATTTTTTATGTCGTATCCCATACACGTTGCATGTTACAATGTGTCAGGTGCAATGCACAGGTGTGAACACAAAAATGAGAAATGTCTAAACGAAGTAATGTTGGTGAAAAACTATGAAAGTATGATTATTTCAAGACAAATCAAGGTCTCAAGCTATAATAGAAAATACAAATAGACAATAGTTTAGGTATCGGTTCAAAACTTTGAGTGCGTGGCATACTTTATTTGATTTTGAGGCTCACATCAATAAATCATGTCTAGAAAAATGGTAGTGAGAAGTTTCTTATATTCAGAGATTACTCTTACACTCTTACTAATAGTACGTGTAAGTATAAGGACTTGTGTGTAATTACTCTTAATATTCTTATATTATAAATACAATGTTAGGGCTCCCTTTTGGGTTAAGCCATTATTCCACAATTATTCTTTCACATGGTATCAGCAGTCTAGACTTTTGCAAACCCTAACAAACATGTCGTCATCATCAACCACAGTCATGACAATGTTCGCGGTCACAACGGTGTCCGCCTCGATGGAGCAGCCGATCTTCACCAGCTCACCAACGCTCACCAGTGCGGTTATCCAGCCACCGTTTTCCACTCAGGCGCCCATTCGTTCGGAGCTGCCATCTTCCTCCGGAGTCACCTTATCACCGCAACTCTCTGCTTCCAGGTTTAATCTGCCCTCCGCCACCTTCGTTGGGCTCTCTCCGTCTATTCAATATGCCTGAGCCGTTCTCTTGGACACCAACGCCAACTGTGAGTGCTTCATCAACCACGGCAGTACCTTATCCGCCCCTGGCAGGATCGGGTTCGACACCGTATTCATGCCCCACCTTCTCCGGACAGCCTGGTCTTTCTCCTTTTGACGCGTCATCTTCTCACGCAGTTCGGGCACTACGGTAACACTCTCTACTCTGTCCAATCAGTTAACTTTCTCAACCCCGAATGTTACAAATATAGTCACTACTAGATTGGACAAAGTTGAAGATTATTTACCTTGGCGTACGCAGTTTGAATCTTTTTTAGTATCTCATGGTTTACTTGGCATACTTGATGGTACTATTGCTGCCCCACCTCAATTTATTGTTGATACTGTCACTCGGAATACTCCTAATCATGAGTATCATGCTTGGCTTAAAATTGATCAAACTGTGCGTTCATGGTTATTTGCTACTTTATCCCGAAATATTTTGCTTGAAGTGCATACCGTTCGTTTTTCTACATTGATTTGGGAGCGCTTAGAAACCCGCTTTATGGCTGGGTGTATTGCTCGTTCTATGAAACTAAAGAGACTTTTATCCGCTTTAAAGAAAAAGAATGACCAATCCATGGAGGATTATTTACATGAAATTGTTATTTTGACTGATGCTTTAAATTGCATCAACTCACCGATCACCAATCGGGATCTTCTTCAATATACCATCCAAGGTCTTGATCATGAGTCGGTTATCACTCCCGTTACGCTCTTTCCAGATAGTTTTACTTTTGAGAGCATTCGTCCCCAACTTATGGCATTGGAACAACGTGCCTTGTACCTTCGGTCACAAAATATGCATCTGAGACATCAAGCTTTTGCTGTTCAAGACGTTGCAGCTGCTGCCCGTCCTCAAGGCCGAGGGGGTGCTCCTCCCCGTGGCAATGGCGGTCACGGTTACAGGGGTGGCCGAGCTCGTGGTCACCGTTGTAACACCGTCCCCAAATATATTTACTTTTAAGTAAATGATGTAATAAACCTTATGGAATGATTAATGAATTTACGAAGTTGTAAATTTTTATTATTCCTTTCGCGTGAATAGTAAATTGCACGTGGGACCCACACCGGGAGCGGGGGCCTCCCGATATTCCCGAGACCAAATAAATTATTATTATGGGTCGAGATAATATTTATATAGCGGTGGATATCTCATTTGGGCCATGGGAAGGCCTGGGGTTGACCGATTGGTCGAAAGAGGCCCAATTACCGGTACCGGCAATTTATTAGATAACAACCCGAAAATGATTTTCGGGGACTTCTAAATTAAAGTTTTAGAGTATATATTATTTCAAAAGGGCATTATGATTGAGAACACATAATATATTTTATTTTACCCGATAAAATAAAATATAATTAAAACAGTCCGAAAAATACAACTTTTGGGACCGATTGTACACTTCTGGACAAAAGGGGGTGACCTCCCACATAAGTGGGGGCCAACCCACGAAATTTCCAGCTCTTGGAGGCTTGCTTTAGAGCAAATGTGGCTGAAAGCCATTGAGGAGATGGGGGAGACCATTTTGACACCTAAGGGACCCATAACCTCACTCATTTGCCAAACAAAGACAAAAACACTATCCTCCCTCCTCTCCCACTCATTGCACTCGTCCAACACCAAGGAAAGAAGGCAAAGGAGCTCTGAACCCTCACCTTCCATAGCCAACTCGATTTCAAGCTCCAACAAGGAAAAAGGGAGAAGTTTAGGAGAGGGAAATGGAAGAAAAAGTGTGGGGATTAAGGTAATGACCTTGTATTAGTTTTTCCTCTATTCTTTAACTACCATATGACTTTTATGGCATATGAGGAACCCCTTGAGTAGCTCTACACGTTCACAAATGTAGAAGGAAGGGTTGAGAGGTGTTTCCGAGTCCGAGAACGGATCTAGGAGCCAAAACAACCGGTTCGTCGGAAAATAACCTTTTAGAGGTTATTTGTATTAACATGGGTTTTATGATTATAAAACCTTGTTAGGAACTTGTATAAGGTATTTCAAGAGCTTTCACGAAGTTGAAAGAGTCACCGGAGTTGTCGCCGGAGTTCGTCAAAAGTCGCCGGAGTTTCGCCGGAGTTCAACCGAGAAGGGTAGAACTTCATAGCGCTAATTCGAGGTGAGTGGACGGCTTAATATCTCATAACTTTTGGGTTAATTATGAGATTACATAAATTAAATGTTATAAGTATTCATAATGATGTTTAAAAGATATTTAAACATATGATTAGCCAAAATGGTTAGGCTTGTATGAAAAGGATTACTTGAATATCTATTGAATATGATATGAGAATTTCTATGAAATTGCATGTTATGGATTGAAGGGCAAAAGAAGCCTAGAATGAATGTTATTAACTTAATCCATATGGTGATTAAGTTGATATGTATAAGGCTTGAATTGACGGTCAACGAAAATGTTAACCGATTGATAATGGATTAACCAATACCGGTTGGTATTAGTTAATTATAAATTTATATAAATGCATGGCTTTGCATGGATTGAGATACATAAGCTTTGTGGATTGATTTAGCTATGAATGAACAAATATGATATAGACTCTATCTAGGTTGATATGAGGTTGATCATAGGATTATAAATTGGTGGAGGACCCTACGACTTAAAGTCCTTAACACTCGGATTATAAATTGGTGGAAGACCCTAGGACTTAAAGTCCTTAACACTCGGATTATAAATTGGTGGAGGACCCTAGGACTTAAAGTCCTTAACACTCGGATTATAAATTGGTGGAGGACCATAGGACTTAAAGTCCTTAACACTCAGATTATAAATTGGTGGAGGACCCTAGGACTTAAAGTCCTTAACACTCGGATTATAAATTGGTGGAGGACCCTAGGACTTAAAGTCCTTAACACTCGGATTATAAATTGGTGGAGGACCCTAGGACTAAAAGTCCTTAACACTCGAATATAAATTGGTGGAGTACTCAAGGATTATGTTATCCTCAAAACTCATAGATTATGATATTGAAATATGGACAAGGAGGAGTCCTATACACTCATAGGTATATGGGTGGGTTGGGGTTTTTAGTCAAGAATATTGACTATTATTATTTTCCCAAACAAAACAGTGATCGCCCAGGGCGTGTGCAACCAGTGCGACCGCACAAGGCCCGTGAATTTTGAGGGCCCAAATTTTCACTAGTCCTTCTATTATTATCCATAAGTAAAGCCTAATAGGTAAGATTTGTATGCTTCATTGAAAAAGATAAACACCAGGGGGTTTCGAACCCTAGCATATTGCATAGGCGTGAGGACGCTCAACCAGACCAACTACTTGGTTGATGTTAACATTTTTCGAATTTGCTTTTTTATACTACGTATTATACAATTATTGATATAACTCATAAGATCTTAAGCCTTATACCATCATCTACAATTATTGATATACTACATATTAATTTGTAATCATAATAATAACTATTTTTTTATTTCATGCCATTATTAAATTAAAAACTATTAGATATGTATGAAATATTCATTACGTCTATCAAGTATATTTATATTTTTTTTATATAAATATTTGTTTGACAACTTATCCATTTAATTCCAAACAATTAAACACATCTTAAATTTATGGATTCTATTTTAGATAATGATACATTAATTTTCAATTTAATCTTATAACATTATTAATCTTCACTTATATTACTACGTGTATTTTTACCTATTTTTAGGAAAAGGCCCACATTTTATTTTTTGCACAAGGTCCGTATTCTCTCAGGACCGGCCCTGATCCACAGATCAGGTATTTTCCAAGTGTATATATACTAATGAGTATTTCTTAACTTGGGGGGAAAGACTATTTATATAAGTATTGCCCTATGTTTGGGTCTTATACTTGAAACACTAGTTATTCTATATTTAGCCTGCTACTCGCTCGGTACTTGTACTGACTCCTTCGGCCCCCCCACCATTTTCAGGTTGAAGCTAGGGCTTGCTGCTTACACCTTCTTACGAGTGATATCAACTTCATGAAGACGTGGTTGGTGCTTCCTTATTTTCTTTTAAACTATCGAACACTTGCTCATGGATATTTGATTTACTATAAAACTATATTTGGGGCTTGCATGCCTATGTTGTTGGCCGGTTGTGGCTTATGACTTACCGTTGAATATTTCCGCTATTCATTGGTCTAAATGTGATGTTGTTATGTATGTTTACTACTGAGTATGGATGGATTGTTTTCTCGAACGCCTTGTATGATTAAGTGAGGTTGACTCGCGGGCGTGACAACCGTGGACGTGGCAGAGGATATGGACAACAAGGCTGCGGCTATGGCGGACAACAGGGGGCTGCATATGGCGGACAGCAACAACAGGCACCTCCTGCACACGGCCAGTATCTCTGGCAGCAGCCGGGTCCTCCTCCGGTGCGTGGTGCGGTTCAGCCGGGTTACCAAGGTATGGCTACTAGTAATTATGGGCGTGTTATAAATGATATCAATGCATTATCTTCTTGTGGTACTCAACCTTACTTTGCAGGTTTACTATCTGTTGAGCAAAATTATCAGTCTCCACCAGCACCTGTAGTCTGTCAGCTTTGTTTTTCCCCAGATCATTCTGCCATGTCATGCTCTCGTTTTACAAATTCAAGTGCTTCGGCTCTCGCGGCTATTCCTACGGGCGAAGCAAATGCGGCTGTTTGGTATCCTGATTCAGGTGCCTCTGCTCACATGACCCCACATGAAGGTATATTAGCTTGTAAATCTGTTTATTCTGGCCCTTTTTCGGTTCGTGTTGCTAATGGTCATAATCTCCCTGTCTCTAATATTGGTAATGTGAGCTTATCTACTAATGGTCACCCGCTTAATTTAAAATCGGTCTATCATGTTCCACACCTTCATTATAATTTACTCTCAATTAATCGATTGTGTGCGGATAATGATTGTTCTGTTATTTTTAATAAAAATTCTTTTTGTGTTAAGGACAATCACAAGGGAGCCACCCTCCTCCAGGCCTCCAGTAGAGACTCCGTCTATCCCTTTAGAGCAGCCTATCAACAACCTTCATCTCTTGCTTTAAAGACTGCACTTGTTTCGGGTCCTGTTTGGCACAACCGTCTTGGTCATTGTGGGGATCGTGTGTTATCTACTCTTAGAAAAAATAATTTAATTTCTAATGCTAGTACTTTTTCCCATAATTGTGTTTCATGTAAACTGGGCAAGTCTCACTGCATTCCTTTTGACGATGTTATTCACAATTTTACTACACCTTTACAACTGATTCACTCGGATGTTTGGCAAGCGCTAGTTTTGTCTAATTTAGACTTTAAATATTATGTTTCTTTTATTGATGATTTTTCCCGTTTCACTTGGGTTTACCCAATGCATAGAAAATCTGAGGTGTTTAACCACTTTTGCAACTTTCAAATTTTAGTTGAAAATTTATTTAACTGTAAAATTAAATGTTTTCAAAGTGATGGTGGTGGTGAGTTTGTTAATTCATCTTTTCAAAATCATTTTCTTAAATGTGGCATACTTTTTAGAAAATCTTTCCCGGATACACCCATGCAAAATGGTGTGGCTGAACGAAAACATAGGCATCTCCTTGAGCTCTCTCGCACCATGCTTATTGAAGCTTAGTTACCTTCTGGTTTCTGGGTTGATGCTTTATATACGGCTGCCTATGTTATTAATCGTTTGCTGTCCCCTGTTTTGCGTGGTCTGTCTCCGTTTGAGATTCTTTTTCAAAAGTCACCTGATTATAGCTTTCTTCGTGTTTTGGGGTGTGCATGTTTTCCGAATATCATAGCTAGTTCTTCAAATAAATTATCCCCACGATCCATTATGTGTGTGTTTCTCGGGTATGCTCCAGGTTACAAAGGATACAGATGTCTTGATCCCCGAACAGGCCATGTTTATATAAGCAGAGATGTCGTTTTTCTTGAAACATCCTTTCCCTATCCTACCCTATGTCAATCCTCTTATACCACCTCAGTACCTGCGGCATTGCCGCCCTGGCCTTTAGCCCGCATCGTACCCTCCCCACCGACCTCCCCTCGGTTATCATCTCTTCCACCTTCAACGACCATGGTTGATCATCCCAACACCTCTCTGCCCAGCCCGAGCGATTCTCGTATACCTTCTCAGCCACACTCATCGACTGCCACTCCTCATCCCAGTCCACGAACCAGCCGGCCATGGACTAGCCTACAAAACAGCCCTCCCAGCTCACCTACTGTTTCTATACCCAGCTCACCCGATACCTCCCAGACGGTTCATATCGTCATCCAGCAGCCCTCTCAGTCTACGAACCAGCCCCGGTAGAGCTGTCAAACGGGCCAACTCGACCCAACCCGCCCCGATCCGTGACGGTTTATGCTTTATGTGGGTTGGGTCGGGCCAACCCGTTTAATGACGGGCCAAAGTTTCTACAACCCTAACCCAACCCGCCTAACCCACGGGCTAAACGGGTTGGCCCGCGGGCCGTTGCAAAAAATATATATGAAAAAGTTATTCTTTAAAATAATTAACCTAGTAGTAAATGAAATATAAGAAATCAAAATACTAAGAAATCAATACTTGTTAAGTTTAATTAAAAAATATGCAGTGTTAAATAATATTATGTACTTCATACTAGTTATACTAGAATTTGAAAACTGTTAGAGTGTATGTAGCAAGAATACACATTTTATAGAAGCAAATATGTACTTAAACTTTTTGAGTGATTATTTGTAAATCATGACTACTAATTATTAAATGATTGATCGAACTTTACATAAAATATACTTAGTATGTTTCAACAATTTATTTGAATATTTATTATAGAACTAATAATTATTTTGCAATGGTTGTAATTTTTTAATTGTAATTATAATAATTTTTATAGTAAAAGAACAATATTTAAGATACTAAAAATCGAAATAATATGATTGTATATTGGCCCGCGGGCCAACCCGCAACCCGGTGGGCCAACCCATTTAAACCCGCAACCCGCGTGGGTTGACCCGCGAAACCCGCGAACTAAATAGGTCATAAAATCACAACCCTAACCCACCAATAAATGGGTTTAAACGGGACAGCCCGCGGGTTTCGGCCCATTTTGACGGCTCTAGCCCCCGGTGGATACAAGCACTACCCCAGCCAGCCTGACTCCCACTACCCACTCCAATACCGTGGCTCTCAATGTCCATCCCATGCGCATGAGAGCTAAAGATGGCATTTTAAACCAAAAACTATTTTTAATTTAAACACTTTAGCTCTCCCTAATGACCCAACATGTTTTTCTCAAGCAAACAAAAATTTAATTTGGCAGGGAGCCATAGCCGATGAATTTAATGCTCTCATATCTAATCATACTTGGGATTTAGTGCCTAGTGACCGAACCAAAAATGTAGTCGGGTGTAAATGGATATACAAAACTAAGTATCGCTCAGATGGGTCAGTCGAACGTCACAAAACCCGTTTGGTAGCTCAAGGTTTTAACCAACAGGCCGGGGTGGATTTTTCAGAGATTTTTAGTCCGGTGGTCAAACCCACCACCGTTCGTCTTGTTCTTTCTGTAGCGGTTTCTTTGGGTTGGATGGTTAGGAAATTAGATATGAAAAATGCCTTTCTACATGGTCACTTGACTGAAGAGGTATACATGCGCCAACCTCCAGGTTTCATTCATCCTACTTATCCCTCTCATATTTGTCGTCTTCACAAGGCTCTATACGGACTGAAACAAGCTCCACGAGCTTGGTTTCATCGTTTCAGTGGGTTTTTACTCTCTCATGGTTTCTCTCAGAGTCAGTCTGATTCTTCTATGTTTACTTATTAATCCCAGTCCAGTGTTATTTATATTCTGTTGTATGTGGATGATATTCTCATTACTGGTAGTTCCTTGTCTCTGGTTACTCAATTTATTAAATTATTATCAAGCCAGTTTGCAATGAAAGATTTGGGGGACGTTCATTATTTTTTGGGCATTCAGGCCAGGCGTACATCCAATGGTATGTTTCTCTCTCAGCAAAAATATGTAACCGACCTCTTGCATCGCTTCCATCTTCACACAGTCAAACCAGTCAAAACTCCTCTTCCATCTCGCACTACCTTGTCACTCAGAGATGGGGACCTTCTTAGTGATGGTACTGAGTATCGTAGTATGATAGGTGCATTACAATATTTGACTATTACTCGCCCTGAGATTACTTATGCCCTACATTTGGTTTCCCAATTTATGCATGCTCTACGTACTACTCACCTTGCTGCTGTCAAGAGAATTTACAGATATTTGTATGGCACTTTGTCTCATGGTCTTGGGCTTCGGACTGGACAAAGCCTTTCTGTTATTGTGTCCTTGGCGGTAATCTTGTCTCATGGAGATCTAAAAAGCAACCAACCGTGTCCAAGTCCTCTATAGAGGCCGAATACAGAACAGTGGCATACACAGTCCAAGACACATTGTTTATTCGGTCTCTACTCATTGATATGGGCACACACATCACTGCACCTGTTCAGTTATTTTGTGACAACGTTTCAGCCTCTTATCTCGCCCCTATTCAGCATGACCACAGCAAGCACATCAAGATTGACTACCATTTCGCTCGGGAACATGTAGCACATGGCGACTTGACTGTTAAATATGTTCCTACTAAGTATCAGTTAGCTGACATATTTACTAAAAATATATCTAGTCAGCGTTTTGAATTTTTACGTTCCAATCTGAACGTGATTTCTTATGCACAGATTGAGGGGGTGCAATAGTGTAATTATAAGGACTTGTGTGTACTTACTCTTAATATTCTTATTATAAATATAATGCTAGGGTTAAGCCATTATTCCACAATTATTCTTTCACACTTACCCCAACATATGTAAATATTTAGTCCTTCACATTTATTTCTAGGCAATTCCCTTATTAGAAAGCTTCATGATATTAATCAATATAGTAAAAAAAGATCATTGAAAATCATGGTTTTTTTTGTGACATTCTTTTTTATGTATGAACAATTGTATATTGGAATTTTGAGAGTGACATCAGTGTCGTATCCAGAAAAACTTGTGAGCAGGGGCGAATTTGCCTTAAATTTTATCACACGCACGTTACAAACTCACCACATTAAGAAAAATATTGTAAAGTCAATTATAAATAACAAAATATTCACCGGGTAAAAACTCTTTGATATCACACTTAAAACTCATACGGAGTAGTATATATATAGATATGACTTTTGTTTGAAACAAATTTTAATCACACGGCGTTTGTAATTTGTTCAAAACTATGTTAATAAATAAGTTTATCAAATTAGGAAAGGATCAAATAGGTACTTAAAATCAATTTAAGATGTGAATTCACAAGTATATTAAAAAAAATTATGTTATTTACAAAAATGTACTACGTTATTGTTAAATTTTATGAATCATATATGAAACTAAAGTTTTGATTATATTGATATATTTTATATCTTGCTAACAAGACAAGAGTTAATTTCTTATGTATAGCAATTCTAAATTTGTTTAAGGCTTCAAAAGAGGAAAATAAAAACAAAACTCACAAAAAGATAGACTCATCTGCATTTTTCCACTTGACCACCGAGACGTTTTTGTAAACTACTCGTTAATGGCATATAAGATATCTATATTTTAGAAACAATTATATATATAATTAAAATATTGGATATATATACAGGGGTTGGGTTGGGGTTGAGTGGGGGTAGCTGCCCCCTGCCCCCACCCTGGATACGCCCCTGAGTGACATGTGACTGTGATATAAAGTTTGTGGTATACATTGACTAAAGAAATTTAAAAAGTTACAGAGTACTCCCTCCTTTTTTTTTATCTACAACATTCACCTTTTCACGTTTGTCAACGCATAACATTGACCGTCATTTTATTTAACTATGTATTAGTAAAAAATAATTAAAAATCAGATTATGAAACTTAACAATGGGATGAATTTAAAAATATTTTTCAAAAAAATCACATTCAATAATAAATAAAATATGGTAAAAGTAGAGTATATGAATAGTGTATAAATTGCAATGTTGCAACTAATACGATACAGAGGATAGTGTAATTTATAATAAAAACATCGTTCACAATGAGGTCTTCAATAATTGTAAAGTGAGTTGATTAAAATTCTATTTATTTATGATTAATCTCATTCATGTGATAAATAATAATATAATTTTAAGTACATTTATAATATTTGTATATTACATTCCGTGCAACGCACGGGTGAAATATCAGTTGACCAAAGGATCACATAATCTCTTTTCTCAACCGTAAATACTTTCTCTACGTGAATTGAATTGCATTTTATGATTTTTAGATTTGGCCATCAATAAATTAAAGTCAAATCACGGATGATTGAATCGTTTAATGATTAATATTTACAAAAACGAAAACTACTTTTTCCCGGAATAATGCTAATTAAATAAATAATTCCCAAAATACTGCTGGGTTAAAAATAATTTCCAAAATACTGTTGGATTAATCGTGATTAAGGAGAGCCGCCACTTGAAGTGGCGGTTTTTCGGAGGCAGTACAAGAGCCGCCACTTCAAGTGGCGGCTTTTGCAAAGAAAACTTACGTAACTAAGGAAGGCCAAAGACAAACAATAAATGGTGATGGGTCCCACACAAATTTAAAATCTCCTCTTTTCTTTGAAGTGGTGTAACTTTTTTATTTGTACTCTGATTGTTACAAAAAATATACCAAAATTCATAACTTTTTATTATCTTCCATTTGCACCAATATTGAATAGATAAAGTTAAAAAAAAATAACACTTCAAAAATTAGTACGCATTTGTTTTTAAAGTGTTATATATTTTTTTATTTGTATTCCGATTATTATAAAAAAAATATATCATTTTTTTTCTTTCACAGGAAATGAATGTTTTATATTGGAAAAAAATAAAGATCTATTAATTTTTGTAGTTTAGAATCGTTTTTTATCATGCACACTATTAATCAAGAGTGATAGATCAAAATAAAATTACACAAACTCCATCACATTTATTTATTTATTTATTTATTTATTTATTTATTTATTTATTTATTTATTTATTTATTTATTTATTTATTTATTTATTTATTTATTTATTTATTTATTTATTTATTTATTTATTTATTTATTTATTTATTTATTTATTTATTTATTTATTTATTTATTTATTTATTTATTTATTTATTTATTTATTTATTTATTTATTTATTTATTTATTTATTTATTTATTTATTTATTTATTTATTTATTTATTTATTTATTTATTTATTTATTTATTTATTTATTTATTTATCGCACGATAATTTATACTGCTTTATTTCATATGACACCAATATTGAATATATAAAAATCCGGAGTTTGTGTAATTTTATTTTGATCTATCACTCTTGATTAATAGTGTGCATGATAAAAAACGATTCTAAACTACAAAAATTAATAGATCTTTATTTTTTTCCAATATAAAACATTCATTTCCTGTGAAAGAAAAAAATTGATATATTTTTTTATAATAATCGGAATACAAATAAAAAAATATATAACACTTTAAAAACAAATGCGTACTAATTTTTGAAGTGTTATTTTTTTTAACTTTATCTATTCAATATTGGTGTCAAATGGAAGATAATAAAAAGTTATGAATTTTGGTATATTTTTTGTAACAATCAGAGTACAAATAAAAAAGTTACACCACTTCAAAGAAAAGAGGAGATTTTAAATTTGTGTGGGACCCATCACCATTTATTGTTTGTCTTTGGCCTTCCTTAGTTACGTAAGTTTTCTTTGCAAAAGCCGCCACTTGAAGTGGCGGCTCTTGTACTGCCTCCGAAACACCGCCACTTCAAGTGGTGGCTCTCCTTAACCACGATTAATCCAGCAGTATTTTGGGAATTATTTTTAACCCAGCAGTATTTTGGGAATTATTTATTTAATTAGCATTATTCCGGGAAAAAACTCCATTTCTATCGTATTCTTTTGTTTGCTAATTTCTTCCCTCTCAGGATGGATTTAAATTTTGTTATACATTCTCTTTTTGGTAAGTTTTTCATTTGCAAATACTCGATTACTCTTATTTTTTCTATTTTTATCTCCTCTTTCATAGTTTTTCACATTTTCTCATTTTCTTTACACTATTCGTTAGCTCTAATATTTTTCTCTCTTAGATATTGTGTCAAATCCTATTGTAGCATGCATTGTAATACACCGATAAGTATGGAGTAATTGATACTCCCTCTGTCCCGAAAAAGTTGACCAATTTTTCTTTTTGGATGTTCCAAAAAGATTTGTCATTTTCATTTAAAGTAAGGAATATGTGGCTAAAGTTAATTCTCTATTCTCTTCACAAATTTCAACCACTCAGTTTTTACTTTATTAATCCACGTGAAAGTCAACTTTGGCCAACTTTATAAGGATGGGGGAGTATGTAAAACATTATATAAAGTGAAATTGTATTCATCTAGAAAAAATTGGCTTCCGCAAGAATGAATATTACTGCTTTAGTTATTATTACTACTTCCGTCACATTCTAACTTTCAACTTTCCAGACTTCTAATTTAAAGGTTCATGTTTCTATTTTACAAAAAACAATTAATATTCTTAAATGACAATTTAATCATCAATTATACAAAAACAATGCATCATGTAATGACATTATCATCAATGAGCTCATTATATTATATAATCATCCATTTCCCCCTCAAAATATACTCCAATTACCATTTTAATTATTATCTAAACCTTGTGTCAATATTATTTTATACGTAAACCTCTAGTCAAGGATCTAACTGTCTATTGCTCTATCGAATGTCCCACGATTTCAATTTTTGATTAGTTTGACAAAACTTCTGGGTCAACTGTGACCTATGAGAACCCGACCTTTCACACTATATCAAACACTTGCTTAGAAAGAACCTAAAAATATATATATAAATAAATAAAAAAGAAGGGGGTGATGGTATACTTGCCGAGAAAGTACCTAAAATATAAAAAAGTAATTACGAAATGATAACTACTTGATGAATCGTGTCTCCTAAAAGCGATTTAACGAAAAGTGGTTTACCAATTCACAAAAACATCTAGTATTAAACGATTCTGATAGATGTGAGGATGATGGAGGAAGTATATTATCCAGATTACTCCCTCCGTCCCCGAAAGAAGTTCTAACTTTCTTTATTTGGATGTCATTCTCATTTCCTTAAATGAAAAGTTATTTACATCAAAACAATGCCAAACAGTGCAAAACAGTGTCAAACATTGTCCAAACAGTGTCAAAACAGTAAAATTTACCTCCTGGTAAGTTTACTTGCATAAATGTGTGTGAAAATAAAATGGAGAACTTCTTTCGGGGACGGAGGGAGGATTATGTATTGAAAAATCAAAATTGTCACCAATAAAGTTTTTATTTGAAAGATTACTAATAATAACCAATTAAGGTTATTAGTAAAAACAATAGGAGGTTGTAAGCAATTAATTTCTACTCTTCCACTCTCCAAAATCGACAAAACAAACGAATTGTAAGTATTTGTAACCCCACGATCTATACGAGGGAGTCCTTGTGACAACGTAAGTGAAAAGTCTCTTTTCTTAGCCGCCTTTCTTTCGGAACTTTCGTTTCTCGACACTTTGCCACGCGTTTACGCCACGCGAGATCTCTGTATATTCCAGATCTCTCAATTTCCCGACTCCGCAATTATTATCACTTCTCTATATTTTATTGCATCTTATCCGGCTTCAGTTTCCGGGGCGATTGATTTTGACAGCCGTTTCTGATTCGTTTGTGGGGTGGGTGTTAGCTTGTCGGCCGAGAGTTTTCATCCGAAGTAATTAAGGGTTTTCGAGGAGTTTAAGGGTCGATAGTTGACTTGATGGGCGGCAAGAGTTCCAAGGACGATAGTTGGAGGCGTACTTCTAGGTCAGCTTCATCATCATCCTGGAATTATGAGTATCCTCCCCAATCAGCCTATCCAACTCAATCGCCGGAGACCTACGATTACCCAGTTCAGCACGCTTATCCTTCTTACGCGCCTCCTCCTCCCGCGCAGCCGTATCACGCGCCTCCTCAAGATCCTAGGACTCCAAACCGCGCGCCGCCTCAGAGGAGGCTTGACCGGAGATACTCTAGGATTGCGGACAATTACCATTCATTGGAAGAGGTAAGAATGTCTCCTATCTGATCAAAAACTTGTTTTATGTTTAAGTTTTGCATTTAATTCTGCTTTATTTGTCATTAATTCATTATTCTATATTAGATATGGTATTATTAAAGCTTTACTTGTTAAAGAAAGATCAAGTATGTACTCCGTCCGTCCCTTAGAAAAGGATTATTTCTAGCAAATAAAAATTTGGTAAAAGTTGGATATTTAAAGTAGAAGATGAAAAACTATTTAATTACTTCTTCTAGGGACTGAGGTAGTATTGCGTTCTTTCATGGTTGATAATGGGTTATTACTGTATCAGATTCTCAATCCTGATATGGTCATAAAATATTCGCAAGGGAAAGCTTTACAAAATGCTTTCTTTTTCTCATTTTGGTGCAAGAAATATATGTGAGGCAATGAAAAAGGGTTTTGTAGAAGACATTCTTGAAGCTCTAAAAAGTGTAAGGTTTAGGCACTAAGATTTGTGACATTTCTATGCTTGAAAAGGGTGCCCGAGCTAAATATCGTTTCTTTTCTTTTTCTTTCTTTTTTGGAAAAAACGAAGAACAAAAAAAAAAGATAGTCAATTTGTAGCATTACTTATGTAATCCAAAATTCCAATAAAGCACTATTCTTTACAGGTAACAGAAGCTCTTGCACGTGCCGGATTGGAGTCTTCCAATCTGATTGTTGGTATTGACTTCACAAAGAGCAATGAATGGACTGGTAAAAGCATTTTTGTTTAATCAAGTTGCTAATTATGTACTCGGGATGTTATTTACAGTGCTTTCTGAATGCTTACTTATTTTAAGGTAAGAGGGCGTTTGGTGGGCGAAGCTTGCATGACACCGGGCATGGTCTTAATCCCTATGAGCAAGCAATTTCCATCATAGGGAAAACTTTGGCTGCCTTTGATGAAGATAACTTAATCCCATGTTTTGGGTTTGGAGATGGTATTTACTGAGCACACTCATTTTTGTTGTTGCCACATACATAGTTTTCATGTTTTGTTAGGATATTTACTCTTTCCATCGAATATGCAGCATCAACTCACGACCAAGACGTGTTCAGTTTTTATCCGGATGACAGATTTTGCAACGGTTTTGAGGAAGTCTTATCTCGGTACAGGGAAATTATCCCCCAACTAAGACTTGCAGGTCAGATAACATTTTCTTACTATTCTGGCTTTTTATAGTTAAACAATCTGTTTCGCCACATTTTTTTTAAAGCCCATGGCTTTCAGGACCAACATCTTTTGCACCGGTCATCGAAATGGCTATGACTATTGTTGAGCAGAGTGGGGGACAGTACCATGTATTAGTGATCATTGCTGATGGGCAGGTATTTTAGTGCTTAGGACCCCCTACGATTTCTTCTTGTATCTCCCATATCCCAGATTTAAATTGATTTCTCATTGTGGACAGGTTACTCGTAGCGTTGATACTGGGCGTGGTCAGTTGAGTCCTCAAGAACAAAAAACAGTTGATGCAATTGTAGAAGCAAGGTATTAGCTTTTTAACTTATTCTCCATTACATCCCTATTTATTTTATTTTTTATTTAAGTTTATCTTTAAGTAGCTAGGGATTTCATTCTTATTAAAATGCCAGTGTCTTGTATCTGCAGCAAGTTTCCACTGTCTATTATTTTGGTCGGGGTTGGAGATGGGCCTTGGGACATGATGAAGGAATTTGACGATAATATCCCCTTGAGGGAATTTGATAATTTTCAGGTTAGTAATGGTTGACTTATTGGCAGTGTATCTAGTTCCTTCAACTTTTTTTGGAATGTGCTTGGCTGATCATCAATCATATATGACCATCGAAAATCCAGTTTGTCAATTTTACCGAGATCATGGCAAAACCTGTCTCTCAATCTCGGAAAGAAACAGAATTTGCTCTCTCTTCATTGATGGAAATTCCTTCACAATATAAAGCTACGATAGAGCTTGGTCTGTTAGGGTATGTATGGCCCCACCCCACCCTGGTTCTATCTTTTTCATCCCCACTTTGCACCTTAAATACATATTAACATACTCTAAACCAGAAATGATTTGCTTGTGGTTTCATCATCAGGGGTAATAAAGGTAAATCCCCCAATAGGGTTCCCCTACCCCCTCCAATGTATGGTGCAGCTTCATCTGGCGGTTCAAAGCCTGCAAGAGCAACAAGTTTCCAGCACACTTCAAGTTCGTACTATGACTACAAGGAACCGGCCGGCACACCATCTGCCTTTGAGCAGAGAACAACAAGCTCTTACTATGATCCTGTAGGTGGTGGGCATTTTGACCACGGTCCTTCTGCACCTGTCACGAGTTATGATAATTTGGTTAGTAACAACCACATTTCTTGTGTTGTTATTTACATATACTCCAACCCCTGCTTCTTATAGGACTCACAAGTATAACTATATGATTTCATCCTTTGCTATATAGGTTTGTCCAATTTGCCTCACTAATCGGAAGGACATGGCCTTTGGTTGTGGACATCAGGTTAGAATTGCATGTCTTCTTCTGTCTTTAAATCAAGGGAAATTTGAATATATACACCCCTATGTTTGTCCTAATACATGATTTTGAAACACATGTTTTATTTTCTCACTTTTCACCCCAATTGGGATGTAAGCTGAAATGTTATACTCGCTCTGTCCCGCTAAGATTGTCCCATATTTCCTTTTTGATCCGTTCTACTAAGATTGTCTTATACCAAATTTGGCAAAGTTTATGTGGTTCTAAATCATTCTTACTTTATTAATAACCGCATAGCCTCCTCACGTCTCAATGTTAGTGGGACGAATGTAGTACTAAATATGGGGCAAAGTGTAATGAATTTGTATGTTAGAAATCCGTAAAAACCCCTATTATCAGAAAAAAATCATGAAAGTTTTATGTCAAATAATGTGATAAACATGAAAACACCAAATTTCCCTTAAGTTAACTAGAGAGGAGTGAGTTGCTCTAATGAATATATATGGTGTTTATCCTCTTGATGCAGACGTGTTGTGAATGTGGGAAAGAGCTGGAAACATGCCCGATTTGTCGCAGCTCAATCCAAACTAGGATAAAGCTGTATTGAGTGTGATGTAAATCCAACCCTTCATTCGTTCCTTCTTGTAAAAAAGTATCCCAAGCATTTGCAGTCTTGGTTTATGCGTATTCTGTACATTTATTGATTGACCTTTATTAGCTTAATGATTTGTTTTCTCAATGATTGAGAGAGGAGGGTTGTTGTTTTCATGAGTTGTCTATGGAATTTGACACGCCCATTAGGGGCAGTCTCTCTCTTCCTATGAGTGAGTACAGAATGTATTAATCCGACACTTCGACAACAACAAATTCAGAGAAGAATGCGCGCAAATTCAAGAAAACGATTTACAATATGATGAATGACTCAGTCAAGCAAGCTCTGTGACGGCGTGACCCGATATAGAGCCACTTTTGTAAGCAGGGCACATTGGTGATCAACAAATGAGTATGCACTATGCAGTGAACTATGTTACAGACACTCAGTAGTCAGTACACATTTCTGAAACGTAAAGAAGGAAAGACAACGAGAAAGTAAAGGCTCCTACTACGAAAAGTATTGCCTCTTAACTGTTAACACCAGTCCTACTAGATTTTTTTCTACAGAGCATCAGCCAGTAGATTATTTTAATTAATAGTTTGCCAATTGATTTACAATGAAATCAAACGGAGGTTAGCAATAACTGTTCGGTCAGACATAGAAAAAGCCTCTTTTGCCAAAGCATGAACGGCTTGATTCGTTGATGTCAGGTTTTCTATCCATTTTCAGTCTCAGCAAGCTATGGGATATAACAAGGAAAAAGAGCTTGATATCTTCAAATGCAATCCCTACTTGGGATATATACATCCCTCCACCGATCCCAGATATGATAATGGTTGCATCCGCTTCGATGATCACGTTATGCAAAATTGCAAATTGTTCTCTTTAGCTCACAAAATGACTTCTCTAACTCCCATGCTTTTCCGTTTCAATGTGCTGAGTCTCGCATTACAACAATGTGGGGTTTCTGTCAATGCACTCCTCTGGAACAACATGCAAAACGATTGATATACTACTTGGAACTTGGGCCGATTTCCAACTTCATAAAGTCGAAGTTGCAATCCTTCTAACCCTTGCTTATGTGAAGTTCTCTCCCTCAACATTATACTATTCCCCATCTTCCATATGCTCTAGAGTAGCATAACAAATTGACACATATCCTCTTCCGCTAGCATGCTCAAAACCTTCTTGAAGCAGTCTGCCCACAAGCCTCCTCCGATCATACTATAAAAACCTGCCGCCTCCCAAATTCTACCCATACTAGACCACTGAAAAAATAAATGATCATCAGTTTCCTCTTCCACCCTGCATAAATGACAATCTTCAATTACCGGACTTGTTCTTTCTTCACTAAATCTGCCCCCTGTGAGTCATTGTTCCACCTAAAATCTTCTTAACCCTGCCTCAAGCTTGAAAGGATGCTCATAATATAATAGAAAGAGTTCCCTCCTTTTAAAAAGGAATTGACATGACCTGAATTCCTAGCCTTCTCGTGAATCTCGTCTTCCTTTGAAAGCATTGGCACATTCATATCTGACATTCCATTTGGTCGTCTTGAGCTTACTATTACCGACTGCTTTCAGATAACCATGCAGCCTTCCGAACAGAAATATAGGTACCCTTTTCAGCCCTTCTTCTAGTCCCAACTACCAGTCTACCACCAGTTCTTGACTAGTTAAAATACTCCGCCATATATAGGATGAGTTATTTCCCATTAAAGCTTCTAAGAAAGAACTTTGGGGATAGTACTTCGCTTTCAGAACTCTTCCAAAAAAAGAATGTCGTCCAGTCAAGAGGTTCCATGCTAACTTACCCAATATGGCGATAATTAAAAAAAAATGACGGCAAGAAGGGAAAAAATAAAAATGAAGAAACTCAAAACAAATTCGTGAGAAGAAAAGAAAACAAGATCATGAAAACAAAGGAGAATGAGGAGGAAGGACGTAGATAGGGAGGCTTGCTAGATTCCACTATAAAATTGAACACATACTTATGAAGAGAGTAAATATTTACCATGAAGACAGTATATGGGTACCACTGTATAGGTCACCCAGGGGCGGCTCCAACATTTTGGAGGCCCTAGGCAATTTTTCTCTTACTATGCACATATCATAATAAAAATGAAATAAATTGTACACAAACATCATATGAAAAGGCATATTCAACGTGCACCATATAATGTGAATGTCAAAACAATAAGTTTATAAATGACAACATACGTAAAAAAAAAAATGACAACATATGTAAAAACACTGCAAGCTTATATTTTGAAACACTCTATTGGGCTATTCATCTTGGCTTTTGAAGTGAGAAATTGATAAGAACATCATTGTAAAAAGATCAAACTTATCATGACAATTATTTGTAACAATAACAAATCAAACAATCCATGCCATCAAACTACTCTCACTATTCAATTAGCACAAGCTAATAGTGTTTCATGTAATTATCATCCAATTCATACAATACACCAACACCTATATGGCAATATATCCAATATAATTAATTTTTATATTAATCCAAATCATTAATAATCATAAGTTAAACATTTTTAACTTTACACGTTACACCTTCACTTCAATCATATTTAGCCATTTAGGAATTTACCTCAAATAGTCAAATACTCCATATTAAAAAGTCAAAATGCCTAACCAGATTTTTGTATTCCTTCCGCAGAATCACAAGCTCACCCAGGCTGCTTTATCAGTTTATTCCTTGTATGCTTTAACCCTTAAGTCTATTTAAGAGTTAGTAATTTAACTATTGTAGTGACTAAAATCTAAAGATAAATTCAATTGAATCAGACGGTTTAGAAAAAGAGTGGGTAATACGAAGAGATAAAGAGGAGGAGAGAGTCTAAGAACTAGAATCACTCACCCCCACTCCCCAGATCGGCGGCGGGCGGCAAATCGTTCAATTAAGGAATGACACGAAGGTGAGAAGGATGACAGACTGTATGCGTTCGGTCGGTTTGGATGAGGATTGAGGAGTTGCCAGTTGGAATTTGGGAATTGTAGAATACGTACATACAGAGGCGTTGATCAATTATATTTTCCTATTCCAATTTTTAGATGATACATACAGAGTATTACATAACACTAATTTTTTTTTAGGCCCCTTACGCAGGTGAAGCTCTAGGCAACCGCCTGGCCCAACTGCCCCCAAAGCCGGCACTGAGGTCACCAAGGCGGTGAAGTTCACGATCTTTAGGGAATTTTGACTTCCATTAAGGAGATCGGTGACAAGAGGCATGTCTTCTCGTTTTACCATGAAATTGATATGAAATGTGCTATTGATTATGGCTCGGGGTTATTTGATCAAAATCTGAGTTTTGCACGAATTAAAACGCGATGATCTACCTTTGAAAGTTCCGTTAAAACTTTTGGAGTTCTGGATTGAAGTTCATAACCTATCAGTTCCGTTAAATTGAAAAGTGTAACAAACAATTACAACAGTAGAAAATTGAAGTTCATAACGGTAGTATTGTATAGTACGCAATAGAGAAACCAAACGATCTATAAGAATGATATTGAATGTTTACAAAGAAGATAAATCATTTTTCTCATAGGGCCCGTTTGTTACGGTGTAAAGTAAACATTTTGCATGCAAAGTGTAGGAAAGTAAACGTTTTACACCGTTTGTTTTAAATATTTAATGTAAACTGTAGGACACTTTCTAAAAACAGTTTACACTGTACCATGTAAAATATTTTATGTGGGGGGAGGATAGTAAACTATTTTACATCCATTAATTTGGAGAATTAATATACACCGGACCTTGGCCGTGAGGGAAAAATCTCGGAAAAAGCTAGGGTTTTCTCCAATACTTCGTGTAAAAAAACAAAATCATGGTTTCATACCATCATGGATGAATACCTTTCCATCTGCTGTAATACTTCAGTTAATACTTTAGGCACCCTGGTAATTTGGGTCTCTTCTTTACATCATGGTTTAATAATTTTCCCTCACAGAAAAAGATCATCTACGACAAATCTCACCATCATCGGCAAATCTCACCGTCGTCATAAAAAATGGCAGCGTGTTCCAGGATTAGCTTATACGGAGTATACCTTATTTTATTTTATACGGAGTACTAATGTGTTAAACGATGTATAAAGTTTTACCTGCCAAACAATGTATTTCTATTTTACATGCAAAGTATTTTACCGCCCTAAACTTTACATGTAATCAGGGACGGAGCCAAGATGTAATATCAGTGGTGTCCAAATAACATACCAACGAAAACTACCCTAAGGAGCGCAGATCACATCAGGTCGGCCCGACGGGAACCTCCGTCAAGTCGAAGCCATTTGTGGCCCTTCCGGATGGAATTTTTTGATCAGATATTTTGAGCATGTTTTTCATTAAGTTTAGTTTAGCCCTACAAATTTCAGCTAAAATTTCAACCGCGAAATCAGTTAATTTTTTTTTTTACAAAAACTATGCTTTATATATATATATATATATAAACACAATTTTTGTAAATAATTTAGTTAACTATCTTCCCGATTGAACTTTAAGCTGCAATTTGGTTGGCAAAAAACAGACTTGATGAAGAACATGCTCAAAAAAAATTCATCAAAACAATTCATCGGAAAGAGTCCCAAATACCCTTGGCCGATCCGACAGGATCACTACTCCTACCCTAAGTGGAGTAAAAATAATGTGAATTTTAAATTAGGAGTATTATACTCTGTATTATTGTTTCAATTCCTTATTAAATATTATCAACATTATTCTTTCAATCATACATAAAAAAACTTGTGAGATAGGGGAGTATATTATATATATTGACACTTTATATAAAAAAAATTGTGGTGTTATTTTTAACATTTTCAATTTATATATACATAAAAATACAATAAATATATAGTTTGAGTGGTGTCATTTTTAACACTTTCAATTTATATATACATATATATACAATAAATATATAATTTGAGTGGTGTCATTTGACACCATAACCCAACACCTGGCTCCGTCCCTGCATGTAATCATTTTACATGCAAAGTTTTAATGTGTAAACTACCAAAGGGGCCATAGTGTCGACAGAGCTCTCTCTGTTGCATGTGTTTTTTTTGTAGTATTGGTCAGGATGGTAGTAATAAAGTCGCTTTTTGTGGTTGTTTGTTGGATATATGTGGTGTTTTCGTAGGACAATTTTCTTTCAATTAGTCATTATAGGCAACTTGTCCGATACTCCGATTAACCATTAGCGAATTACTACGCATTTTATATTGCGATCGAGTGACTGATCTGGGGGTGCTTGCCCAAATATTGGTTTGTGTAATTTTGATATATCAATATTAGCCTTTTTCATTCAAAAAAGATGGGTATCTATCATATAACAAGTGACTCAAATTAATGATGCATCCCACGAGGCTACGACATATACCCATCAAAATGTGATGGTACTACTAATTACATACTCCATATGTAATGATCCAAATCATTACTTCATTGTTCATTTAAATTATACGGAGCAGTTATTTAATTGTAATATTTTGATGATCTATATGGACAAGGTACTATATTTTACAATGGTGGATCCAGGATAAAAATTTATTGGAGGTAAAGTATGATGAAATAAGGAGTCCTTTTGACAAGATGGGTGAATCTACTACCTTCGCAAAAAAATGATTATAGCTGCTGAATTGAATCAATATGTTGAATTATGAACGTCAAATAGGTAATTTCAATCTTAGATTATTTCATTATTCACTGGGGTGAAGATTTTTGCGTTATTTATATCTGGTACATGATTTTCCAACAAATGCGGTGAAGTTAAAGTGAGCAACAATTTATAGCTGAATGAGGGAGTATATTTAAGGCTTCGTGAATCACTATACACATATATATACGTGGTGGCAGCTGGCGGGGTGTAGCATACTCTCTCCGTCCCAAAATTAACTTCTCACTTTCCTTTTCGGGCAGTCCCGAAATTAATTTCACACTTCAAAACTTTCCTTATTTGACAAATAATCTACATAAAAAAGTGTCAAACAGTGTCAAACAGTGTTTAAACAGTGTACTCCACAGTAAAGTCTAATTTATTTTCTTAATCTGTGTGAAGTCAAACTGAGAAGTTCATTATGGGGCGGAGGGAGTATATATTTGGCCGGCTCGTCTTACATTGCATTTAATTATTGGTAGTTTCTATGGTACCCATAAGATACCGTACCTTTGTCCGCATGGACCAATGAAAAGGTAGCAGTTGAATTATCTAAATTTAAATT